ACAACAACAACTAAGTCAGTCATTGTAGGAGTTTATATTTTCTGAAAGTGGCTGCAACAATATCTTCTTATAATATGACTTTAGTTGATATTCCTTCATCAAGGGGAGGCAAGAATTAAATTTCCTTTGCTTAAATGTAGGTAGGCTCTTGACTACAATGAAAGTGATGCTGCCTTCTGAGGTCTTATTCTCTTAGGCTGTTTGCTTAGAATGCCATCATAGACCATGAGAAAGTCCAAGTAGGCCATGCCTGCAATATGAGTGTAGATCTTGAGAATAAAACCTCCAGAGACAAAGTATCTCTGCCAAGTCCTCCCCAAATTGCAGATTTAAAAGCAAAACAAATGACTGTTGTTTTCACTCACTAAGCTTTGGAGTAGTTTGTTATGCAGCGACAATAACCAGAATAGATTTTGATAGTCGGATATGGGGTGCTGCCAAAACAAAAACTTAAAATACGTGGCATTAGCACTGAGATTAGGCAGCAGGCAGAAGCTGGAAAAGCCTCAAAGCCAGTGCCTATCAAGCCAAAAGGGCCAAGGAAGGGATGGATTTATGGAAGCCTTAAAAGCTGTAAGAAAGCTGTTGGTGAAAGCTTAAAGCCAAAAAAAAAATAACTGAAAGCTGAAGCAAGGTTTCTTCTCTCTCTGCAGTCTTTTACTTAGATCTGGGTCAACAATGTAAGACTCTCCCTCCCAGTAAGCAGGGTGATGACAGCCTTCAACAAGCCAGGAAGACAGCCTTCTCCAGAACCCGACCATGCTTATACCCTGCAAATTTCCAGCCTCCAGAACAAGGAGATAATACAAATGATGCAGCTTCCTCTTAGTTCTTTGGGGATGCTTGCTCTCAGAATCCAGCCAGTATGTCAGGAGGAAACCCAAGCGGTACACGGAAAGCAAAAAAAATCCTCCAGTCCATAGCCTTAGCCAAGTTACTGGTACAAAAGCAACCCTAACTTGCCAGCTATGTGAGTTGGCCATCTTAAAAGTGGTCCTCTATTCCCCAGTTAAACAGCCCAAGCTCATAAGATGTGACACAGATAAGCAGTCCCTAACAAGCCCTGTCAAACTTGCAGATTTGTGAGCAAAATAAATGACTGATGTCAGTTTGTTTTGGGGTGGCCTGTTAGTACCAATAGATAACTGATACAGGCATCATCTCCTTTATGTCTTCCTCAAGCTCCAGGTAAGGTTAAATGCTCTCCCATTTCTGCTCCCAAAGAACTCTTTGTGAAAATTATCTTAGCCATTATTGTACTCTATTGAATTTAACTCTTCACTTGTCTGCCTCTCTTTGAGCTCAAGAGTAAGACCATGCTTTTTGAAAAATTAGCTCCTCAAATATATTAGTTTGCCACATTCTCTCTCTCTTCACCTCTGGAACTTTGATTAGACATGTGAAAACTTTGCAGTGTATCTTTCAAGTCTCTCAGCTTCTCTTTCATATTTTTCACGTTTTTGTCTCTGTGCAACATTCTGAAAAATGTATTGTGGCCTAATTTCCAGTTCACTATATCTCTCTCCAGCTGAATTTCATTTGTTTTTCCACTCAGCCACAGAATTCTAAATTGTATATGTGTGTGTGTGTGTGTGTGTGTGTGTGTGTGTGTAAGTAATTTGATTTTTTAATTTCTAAAAGATTTTTTTTCCTCTCCAATATGCTAGGTCAATTCTTTTTAGTTTATATTTCTAAAAAATACCTTCAGACTTTCTTTTTCTTTATAATGGCACAGTCATTTTATAGTCTACATCTACTAATTCCAATATTTGAAAGCTCTTAAGGTGTGGAACTGCTCTTCCTTGTTTTTGTTTGTTCCTGTTTGGGGTTTCTTTCCCTATAGGCTTAATTATTATAAACTGCTAATTTTAATAGGAAAAGTATTTATAGCAATTATTTGGGGCCTTAAAGGAAAGTATATTTCTCTCCAGAGGGATTACATTTGCTTCCACTTGATACCTGAGGACATGACTTTAAATTCATGAATTGACATTTTTTGGACCACCTAGGTGATATGAGTTTTGGGTGGCAATCTGTGAGGGCTAGTTAGTAGCAATGATTTTTCAGGAATTTCCCACCCCCGACCTGCCTTGTTCTGCTCACATCAAATCACCTTTCTTTGCAGTTCCCTTGGGGTAGGGAATACAGGATTACTTCTGATTCCTCTGAAGGTATAGCCCTTGGAATTCCAGCTCTATGGAGGAAGGATTTCATATTAGAGTCCCTGAGCTGCGCAGGCACAGATATTGGTTTTCTGCATCCAAAGCCACAGAAGCCTTGAACACTGAAATTTATCAGCAGGTTCAGCAAATTCCCCCAGGACAAATGTGGCTTTAGTGCTGTATTTATTTCCTACTCTCACTAATGTTTTGGCCTAATTATTTCTTACTAGCCTACTGATAAAAAGATATTACTAATTTATATGTGATTCAGTTTATGTAATTTTCCTATCAGGTTTTTGATACTTTTAAGAAGTTTTTCCTTTCTATATTTGTATCCAGCATTTTTATTTGTTTTCAGTCAGAGCTGACCTGAGCCTGATCAGCCTTGCTATCTGTGTCTAGGTCATTTTCATCCTTGTATCCTCTGCATTCAAAACTGTGCCCTAGCATGCATAGGAACTCAATTAGTTTTTGGCTTCTTAATCGATACATAGTTGTGTCTTCAATTCTTGCATTCCTTCCTCTATCACCCCAATATTCCCCTACCCTCTGTGTCCCAATTAAAGCTCTTTCACATTTTGAACAACTATTTCCTGCATTTTCCTACTTTAATGGAGCTTTCCTACAATATGTTATTTCCCTCATTATCTCTCTTACAGAAGAGTCCTCATTGTTGTCAATTTCTGGGATCAGCATTGTTTTCATTCTTCATGACTTCTCTGGATCATTCTCTATTCTTAGGCCTTAATCCAAAATCTGATGCTCATCTGAAGTTTATGCTATTCTGTAACATTCTTTTTGTAATTTTACCACTCTCATATGTGGACCTCCAGCCATATTGCTACATTTCTTGAGGGTTTCAGTACTTGATTACCAATATTTACCACCACCTCATCACCTAATAAAATGTAGCACTATACATAGTGTTTAAGAACACAAGTTGGACAACCCAAGGTCAAGTACTAAATCCACCCCTCATTAACACATAACCTTGGGAGGTCTGCAAGTGTTTCAATGCCTCAGTTTCCTTATTTGTAAAATGAGAATAATGGTATTAGTACCGCACAGCATTGTAAGAATCATATGGAATAATGCATCTAAAGCACTCAGTACAGTATCTGCCACATAATAAATGTGCATTAAATTTACTATTTTCATTACTACACTTTTACCTTAAAAATCTTTCAATTGTATGTTTATGATTCGTTAATACCCTAGCCTTAGTACTGCTCAAAAATCCATTTTTTCACCTGTACAAAATTCCTAGACTGTTATGTATAATGGCTTTTCTGAATTTTATTTACTTATTTATTTAGAGACAGGGTATCACTGAGTGACACCCAGGCTGGAGTGCAGTGGTGTGACCATGGCTCACTGCAGCCTTCACCTGCTGAACTTAAGCAATCCTCCCACCTCAGCCTCCTGAATAGATGGGACTACAGGCACGTGCTATCATGTTCAGCTAATTTTTTAATTTTTTGTAGCAATGGGATTTCACTATGTTGCTCAGGCTGGTTTTGAACTCCTGAGCTCAAATTATCCACCCACCTTGGCTAGGATTACAGGCATGAGGTAGTGCCTTTAATAGGCTAGTGGTAGAAATACAGGCATGAGCCATCACTCCCGGCCCGGATTTTATCTTAACCCTTCTCAAGATCTAGCTCTTCCTTGTAGCCAATAACCTTTCATCATACCCAGCAATTGAATCCATTTGAAACTAAATATTTCAGAATTTCTCTATATTCATTACTATGCTGTCTTTTCTCTACTATCTGGGAAAGCAATGTCTGTGTTTTCCTAAACTAGCTGAGTTTTTACTTCTACTCATTCTGTTCTGTCTTTTTATTCTTTGTCTTCAGTAGCTTGCTTTACCAGAAAATTCCTCTAGACTTGACCAAGTCTTACTATTCCTAAAATAAACTAGATATTTCCCTCTTGCACCTGCTTTCTTCTTATGTTACCATCATACCTCTTCTTCTAATCTCCTTGAAAGAGTCATCTGTACTTTCTACTTCATTTTCCAGTGTCTCGCTATTAACTTTCAGACATCTACTTTTACCACAGCACTTCTAAAATTTATTATTCAAAAGTAAGTTGCAATTGCATTACCAAACCCAAAAATAGGCTCTCTTCAGAACTTTTCTTACAACTCCTTTGCAGCATTAAATATATTGATCATCTATTTGAAAATTTCTCCCTTCATTAGCTTTCATGTAATTACTCTGTATTCTTTCTTAAAGCGAGTGATGAAGTAATGGAGAGTATGATGGTAGTCGAAAATCCATGTTCAAGCATAAGCCCCACAATTTATTGATCTTAAAGCACTAATTTCTTTATCAGAAAAATGGGGATAATACTTATCTTGCTTTGTTCACTAGTTTGTAATGCAAACAAATAAAATAAAATAATGGATCTGATAATGCCATAGAAGACATAAAACACACAAAGCAGCTAAGTAAGATTTGATAACTTGGTAAGAGATAGGATGCAAAAAATAATATAAAAAGACCTTTGGTACCCAACTGGCTATGAACTCCTGAAGGACCCAAAGCTATGTATCTTACCTAGAAGGTTTTTTTGCTATTAAAAGGTTTTGAAGTATCTTTATCAAGGCATTACCATATCCATTAGGGCTGTTACCAGGAAGTTAGGAGACTTCAAATCAAAAACCTTTTGACTTACCTGGACTCACTTCAAAATGAAAGAACTAATTAGTGGGAATACATTGAGGGAAGTTTCATTTTGATAACATAGTAGGAAATCAAAATGTTAATGATACATCTTCACATAAACAAGCATTCAAATTGAATCAGGCCAATTGTGAGTAAGACATATTACCAGTTCTTGGGGAAGATGCCCTCGCGATTTCTAAGGAGCAAGGTTTCTTTGTAACAGCTGTGTCCATGAGATCACACAGAAAGTTCTCATTTTCTGAAGGAAATGTATCCAGAGAAGCAGATGGTACAATTTCCATAGTGTAATTTCTCTTCTTTGGATAGGACTCCTGAAAAGAAGAAAAAATAAAAACAGCTTTGTGATGAAGAAACAGCTTTGTTTAATTTATAAAAACTATAAAAAATAATCAGATTCATTAGTTATTTCCAAAGTGATTGACAGCTGATGATTCATCTGTTTGAATAAATTATAGAATCATACAACCCCAGTATCATCAGTGATATTTTTAAGAGTCCTCATAATTTAGAAAGACTGAATTTATTACCGAATTAGTAAAGGTATTGCCCTTTTTTATAATCTGTATCTATTATCTAGTTGTGGCATAAATTATTGTTTAACTAATCAACAGACAGTCCCAAGACTCTACTCCTTTGCCGACCTCCTGCAGATAGCCATATAAATCAACTTTGGCCCATTAGATATAAGGGAAAGTTTGCTAAAAGGCTAATGGAAAAATACTTTTCCCCAGAGAAAAGCTTATAAGGAGGCTCTTTCAGAGCTAAGGTCATCCCTAGGCTCCTCTCTTTGGATGCAGTTTTGATATATGGAGCAAGGGCAAGCATTTTGTGACCATAAGGCAAGAAGCCTAAGACCAAAAAGGTAACAAGTCAAGAATGGCAACAGAAGGATAAAAAGAGCCAGGGACCTTGATGATATTGTTGAGCTGCTCAAATAGACCCAAGGCCAGTTTCTCCAGGCTTCTTACATAAATAACAATATTCTTAAAGTTTGGGCCATTGCTAATTCGGTTTTCAGTCATTTAGAATTAATCTTGCCATCTAGCACACCAGTATTTTTCCTTGTAAATACTGTTAACTAATATACTAAGGTACTCTTTTCAGGTTAGGATAAAATGTAGGTCCAGTTCTACATTATTGATTTTTTAATATATTCTAAAAATTAGAATTCCTTTCATTATAGAAGATTTTAATTTCTTGTACATAAAGCATTAATTGGTCAACAAATGTTTATTGGGCATCTACTATATATGTAATATACATATAGTATATTTATATATGTTATATATATAAATTATGTGCTAAGTGCTGGACTTTTTTTAAAACTAACCAGACATGATTCTTGCTCTAAGGAAGTTTAAAGTCTGCTGAAGAAGACTGTGAAATTCCACATTATGAAATTCATAATTAATGATATTTTATTTTTGCTACAGATTCTCCTCTACTTTACAAAAAACACAAAGCACAAAGTAAGTTGAAAATATTGTAAGTAGAAACTGCATTTAATACACTTAACCTACCAAACAGCATAGCTTAGCCTAGCCTACCTTAAATGTGCTCAGAACACTTAAAATTAGACTATACTGGGCAAAATCATCTGGTAACACAGTACATTGTAGAGTATAGGTTATGTACCCTTGCCATCATGTAGCTGACTGGGAGTTGTGGCTTGCTACCATTGCCCATCATCATGAGAGAGTATCTATTATAGGATATAATGCTAGCCCAGGAAAAAGTCAAAATTCAATATCTGATGTATGATTTCTACTGAACATATACTGCGTTCACACCACTGCAAAGTCAACGACTCATAAGTTGAACGATCATGAGTTGTGGACCATCTTTATGTGTTACCTTTATAAAGTATGCTTCATAATCAAGAAAAAGACTAATAAAAAAATTAACTAATGTTTTTTTAAAATCTCCCAAAGTATATTCTAGGGTTGATAAAGATTTAGTATGAATTCCTACTTTTTCTATAATGATATTACAGTACAGAAGAATTCACGGTCAGGGTAATTGCTTTCAGACCATACCAGACCCTCACACATCAATGAGTCAATTATAGTCATGATAATCCATTGAAAGCAGGAAATTGGGAGTAATTTATTTTTAACAACAAGGGTGACAAAGTCGAAGTCATCCAGAGGAAAGCAATCGGAATGCCATATAATTTTGAAACCATGTCAGAAAAGAAATGATGAACGGAACTGCAGTGTTCTATCCAGAGAAGCCTTTCAGCCACATAATAGTTTTCTCAACAATTTGAAAGGCTATCCCTCATGAAATATCCCACAAAGCATGGATGGGGAAAAGTTACCTTGATACATTTATTCTAAAGCTCTTAAAGGCAAGACAAAGACTAATGTTTATAAATCAAAAAGGGCAAATTTGGGTAAATACAAAAATAATTTTTTATGAATTAATATTGTTTACCTTTCAAAATAAAAGGCACTATAAAATTTGTTAACAAATAGCATTAGAAAGCAACAGAAGGAATTTCTCATTACTGAAAACCATCCTGCGGAATTATCTGTTGATAAAATTGTGGATGAAACACATTGTATAGTGAGTCCAGCAGGTGACCACAAGCTCCATGAAGGCTAGAATTCGTCTTGTTCACCACTCTATCCCTAGAATCTAATACAAGTCCTGCCAATAGTTGATGAGTTGATATCCAATAAATATATACTGATCAACTGAACAGTCTCTAGTGTCCTTTAAACAAAGCTAACTACAGGTTAGGGAAATGATTATGTTTCTTTTTTCGAATGTAAATTACTTTGCCTTTCAGTTTGGTTAATATTGTTCACTGGTTTGCATATAAAAAGGGAAACTGAGATTACAACAATAAGATTGTAAAGATTCCATGAAAAAAAGAGTCTCCAGTGAAACCCCTAGTTCATCCGGAAATTAAATTAATCAAAACAATCCATGGATTTAGTTAAGTTGGAATGTTAGTTACAGTGTGTATGAGCACTTATGTAGATTTTAAAACCTTGAAAACCACTTTGAAATTAACCACAAAGAATGGGTTAATTTGCTTTCTTCCTTAAAAATGAAGTATATATGTTTACTAGGGAATAATTTGAAAATATAAAGAAAGAGGAAAATAATCACATGAAAATTCAGCATGCGGAGAAAACTGAGGGTGAAATTTTGGTGAACATCCTACCAGACTGTTTTACCCTGAAAATGTGTGGATGTGTGAATATTTGCAAAGGAAAGAAAAAATATTTTGAACAATGAAGTACTCCCTCTTCTGCTTCCTAATGGAGGGCCATAATTTCTTCTTGGAATGTAAGTCTTTACAGAACCTGACTTCCTTAGGGAAGGCAAGGCCCCCAAGGGAAGGAGTTGGTAAAACGAAGATAGTGACTCTATGCTCTTGGAACCAAATATTTCAGTATCAAAGAAAAGAGGTATTTCAACAAAATATCTGACAAATGACCCTCAAAAGAGGATATGCAAGCTAATTTTTAAAAAATTGGATCCATGTGTGTCCACTACTCAGTTTAAGAGATAGAATATTACCATTATATCATTGAAACCTGCCCCCACCCCACCCCATGTTCATCTTTCCAATCTCACCCTTTTTTTTCTTCTACCAGGGATAAATGCTTTCCAAACTTTGTGTTTTTAATTCCTTGGATTGTGTTAAATTTTAACTATACATGTAAGTATCAATAAAAAATAAATTTTTAGTGCTGTGTGCTTTCAAACTTTATATATATAGTATCAAATACTCTAGTTCTGTGATTTTTTTCTCAATCAATATTATGTTTCTGAGTTTCACTTAATTCTCAGCATGGTACAGGAGCTCACTGTACAAGAATACCACAATTCATTCACACATTATCCCGACAAAGCACTTTTAAATGTTTCCTGGGTGTTTTGTTATTTAGGACAACGTTATTACACATTTTCCCATACAAAGTCTCTTGGAACAAGTAACCAGTGTTATGCTGCCTATTCCAGTAGTGATGGGGAAGACCCAAGAACAGACAGCAGATGAGAAAAATAAATGAAATCAAGATATGATAATGAGAATGGAAATTGTATTCACTGCAGATTCCATAGAATCTTGAGGAGGACATTTGCAGTTTTCTCCCCAAAGTTTTCTACCTTGCTCTAAGGAAGTTGATATGAGGGTTCAAATGATGTTTTATAAATCTTATTAAAATATTATATATAAGGCTACTTATATATAAGTATAATATTATACAAAATATTTCCTAATCTGTTATTTACCTCTAATCACATATTTTGTACCCTTTTCAATGACGATTATATGGCTATATGATGAACTTGGGTCCCAATATACACCTGATCATAATGTATTTAGCAAATCCTATGATATCGAAATTCTAATGAATTCAATTTCTTTAGAATTTCTAAGAATTCTAATTTCTTTAAATTTGCTTTTAAAGTATCATTTTTGTTCATATATTTTGTTTACATATTTAACTATTTTCAAATAGAATTCCTGTGATAATAGGTATATGCCTTATGTTTACATATAACTGAATCTGCGTCTAGACTTTCTAATTGGTTCCATATATATGTCTATTCTAGTACGGGTACACCTGAAGGTTTATTGTGCTTTACAGATATTGCAATTTTTACAAATTGAAGATTTATGGCAACTGTGCATTAAGCAAGTCTATCAGCATAATTTTTCCAAAATGTTCTCACTTTGTGTCTTTGTGTCACATTTTGGTAATTCTCCCACTATTCCAAATTTTCCATTACTATTATATCTATTATGGCAATCTGTGATCAGTGATCTTTGATGTTACTGTTTTAATTGTTTTAGAATACCACAATCCACAATCACATAAGATGGTGAACTTAATGCATAAATGTAGTATGTGTTCTGACTGCTCCACTGACTAGCCATTCCCCTGTGTTGTCTTCTCCTTGAACCTCTCTATTTCCCAAGACACAACAATATTGAAATTAGGCCAACTAGTAACCCTTCAAAGGCCTCTAAAAGTTCAAGTGAAAGGAAGAGTCACACGTCTCTCACTTTAAATCAAAAGCTAACAATGATTAAGGTTAGTGAAGAAAGCATGTCAAAAAGGCCTCTTTGTCAAACAGCTAGCCAAGCTGTGAATGCAAAGGGAAAGTTCTTGAAGGAAATTAAAAGTGCTACTCCAGTGAACACACAAATGATAAGAAAGGGAAATAGTCTTATCGCTGACAGGGGGAAAGTTTCAGTGGTCTAGAAAGAAGATCAAACCAGCCACATCATTCACTCGAGCCATATCCTAATCCAGAGCAAGGCTCTAACTCTCTTCAATTCAATGAA